GCTTGCTTGCTAAGGTTTGCTGGAGCCCTTCCTTTTCTTGGAGACCATGTATGTATATGTATTAGGCTATATGGTTAATGAATTTGAGCAACTGTAAACTTAATGTATTTTATTAATGCAAAATACACCGAGTTTGGACTCGCAAAAATTTGGACAACATTGTTCTTTCTGAGATCACCAGCTCAGCCCAACAGAACCGTAAATGATCTCTGCCAAAAGCTCTGCTTATCTCGCTCCATCTGAGGTTTTCAACTGCATTGATTGTGAAATGTGATACAGAAATGTGAACTAGTTATCCTCACTGTATTGTATACAATATACAAAAAAAGTCTGGAAGGATCTGTACGTGTTGCTTATTATTATATTATTATATTTAAACTCGAAACTGATTACATCTTATGTTCAAGACACTGGCGAGACATTGGTACCACCAGTAAAATACTAGAGATAAGAGCGGTCTCCTGGGGTTATGTTGGGTGTTATCTCTGCAGTGGCTCACTGACGACATCACCAACCGGAGCAAATGTTCGAGTAGACAAAATTCATGCTGGGATAGTCGGTGCATTAACACTTCAGTACGTTTGGACTGTACTTGGCTAAATGGGTTCTGAATTGAAGAGTGATGACATACGTTCAGACCAGAACAAAGATTGGGCTTTCTGATGGAGTCATTGCCTGTAATTCTTCCAACTCACACGTATGTCCAACATTATCTGAAGTACTAGTATACGCATTGTTTTTCAGGGTGTGTTATCTTTTATGCCCAAGAGTGTCATCTGGGACTTGATCCAACGCTTACAGATGCTGGGAGTGGTACATTCTTATTTTCCAATCCCCCATCATTTGATGGTCGACCAGCAGATATTTATTTTGTTCCTGTTCCCAGAGTATTTTTCCACAGGACACATTTCCCTCATCTGGCATGAGCGTCTGTGAGAAGGCTGATATTTATGTAATGGTTTGTGTGTTTGTAGAAGTGGTGATGGGCAGCTTTTAAATGTTTTTCAGAGGATCCGGGTGCAGGCAGCTGTCCCTGTGAAGACTTCCAGAGCAGGAGCCAGAACGTAAGACCAGATGAACCCCACTGGTTCATTATTCTCATAGATGATTGGTTAAACAAACCCTCACGTCTTGACACTCAGCGATGTTGACAGAAGCTGCTGCCCTCTATCTGCCCACCCAATCCTATCCTTTTCCACTCCACAGACATCAGTGCTCCATCGCCCGCTCTCTCTGGCTCATTTACAGGCAGTGTCACCCAGACGAGCCGCGCTCACTGACCGGCCAGAGCTCCAGCGTAGCCACGAATCCTTTGAAGTTTGCTCTAATCAGCACCGCAGCTGCAGAGAGCTGCTGCTGCTGGTGGTGGTGTTGGGTGGGGGGTTGGTTGTGTAAATGCAAATGTGACCAATATGAAAACGGATTATTATTCCACACAAAGCAGCACTCTGGGTATATGCACCAGTCTAAAAATAGCTATGAACCAGAGCTATTTTTGCTTATTTTAACCACCACTGTGTCAGTTTTTATAAGAAAGCTGTTATTTCATTGCTCACTAAAACTGCTACAGTGATGTGCTGTGAGGTTTTTTTAGTTTTTTCATAATATTCATCCACTCTAATCTATTTCAGGCAGGCTGGACTAAAGATTTCACATGATCTGCGTTTTCTAGTCTTACAGTTGCTTCCTCAGGATGTCTTGGGATGGGGGTTCCTAAGACTGCAGTCAGGGTGAACTGCTGGTCATCCCCAGAGACTTGCCTCCTGCCAGCGTTAGTATGGGCAGTTGAAGTACAGAGGCTTGCTTCTCATATCTCCGCTGGACCAGCACAGCCCTGCTGCCGCAGCTGTGTGTGTTGTGTGAATGACATCTCTGCTAAGCCTTGAATCACTCAGAGCACATCTGACAGATTGTTGAAATTCAGTGAAGCAGACCTGTCAGCAATGTTGCCTTTTGTAAACACTGGAAATCTCAGACTCAGGTTCACTGTTGCTTTTACAAACATGAGCAAAGAAATGAAAGGTTAGTAATACCCTGCTAGCCGAGGTTAAGCCCGCATTATCCCCATTGTACAACTGTCTGCAAATGTCCTAAGTGGCTACAGCTCGTAATGGTCATTTATCGTCCACTTGATAACTTGATTTAAGTCATGAATAGGAGCTAATGATTCCTCCCCACAGATTATGTTACAGCCAGCGTGCTCCTTAAAGCACTAATGTAACTACAGGATCAGGAGAGGAGGGCAGCTCGATCTGTTCCCCACACTTAGGAGCTCAAAGACCTCGACCTTAGAGTGGGTGTTCACTGTCGGACTCACCCATTACTTAAGTATGGGTTTGGTTAAAGCTACATTTAGACCATTATAAACCCTCCTCCGTAACCACTCACAGTTGGCGTGGTTTGGCTAGAGAAGAAAGGAATATTATAGGTTAACCTCCGCTGCCTTTTCCAAGTGGTTTGAACGATATAGGGTCTTAAGCCAAGTGATAGCGTTCACAAAGTATAAATGCATCCAAAAATACTTCACTCACTGGGCTGACGACCGGCCATTTTGCAGATGTATAGTATTGTGTAGTTGTTAAAACGCTTTGAGGCAAGTCTTTTTTTGTATGTTTAGTTTATTTTGGGTACATTTATTTTAAGTGGAAGATGGATGTAAACTTGAAATGCCAATCAGTAACTGCTTCATCCTTAAAAGCGCATAAAATGCTAAACGCATTGCTCAATGAAAGCTTAAACAGTTAACAGGAGCAATCAAGCAGTACCTTTTACCAGGCATAGAATGAGCTAAATTTTAAATTATGTAAAACCCATCGATTCTAAAGGGAATTAAAGCACTCAAGCTATAATGGGGACAACAAACCTTCATTTGAGTGCTAGCAGATACATTTTCATTGTTGATTAATCTGTTTTCCTGAATTTTCTCAAAAAATCTAACTTTGACGATCACGTAAGACTAAGAAAACCAGCGAATACTCACATTTGAGAAGCTTTGCATTTCTGTTTCAGTAATTTCTCTATTGATTAAGCAGCTTTAGTATGTATGACAGAAGGCTAAACTATTCCTTTAGTGAACACTGTCACCCTAAAAAGCATTTCATGGGTTAACCCAACATATGGGACTCATGAAAGCATTGTACAGCACACGAGCAGAAGGTTGTTCACCATTTATAGCCGACTGCACATCTCCTTAGACAACAACACAGTGGTGGTGAGCACAGGACTTTCCCCCTGCCGATACTGGGTGCCATAAAGACCACCCAGGAAGGGAGGGCGTGGTGTTGTTGATTGTGTTTTCTGATTTTGAGGAGACAAATAGATCCCTGCCCCCGCTCACTATCACACGTCATAGTGGCAAGTCCATAAACCTTTTATGAGCTTCAAGGAGAAGTTAGCATGTTTATTGTGGAGCAAATGGTTGTGTGAACTTGCACTCTGAAATGTTGTTCCTGGTTTGCCTGTAGTGGAAAACTGTTTGTGCAGCTGGTTCCTAATAGACTCAAGTTTGTTGAGTTTGAAAGCTGCTGAATATTGAAAATCCAGTGTTGGCTGGCAGCATATTTTAAACATGAATGTGATTTGTTGTTATTTGGAAAGCAGGCCAGTTCACTTAAGTTCTTCCTCTTCCCCTGTTCCCTCTCTGTGGTGTGGTCCTGTGACCAGTCACCCCTGGCTGTCTTCACACTGATGTAATATGAAAAGAAGGACAACGCCTTGAGCGACTCACCCAGCATTCCTGTGATGAAAGAAATCAAAACCTATAACCTAAGCCTTAGTGTTTTACTCTGCAGATTTTTATTTTATTTTTTACAATATTGAGTTCTGGATAAGTGTCATACTCTAATATACTGGAGTTGATCTTTTATGAATGACTTCAGCAGCAGAAGTAAAGGCAGGATAGTAAATGAGTTCTAGCAGACAGCCGAGAGGGTCAGTTTTATCTCTTGAACAAGTATTTGACAACCTGTTTCAAACAGTGACAATATGTTCATTCCAAATACTGCCATGGTTTTTCTTAAATGTTGTGTGGTGATTAAAGAGTGTAGTTTTTTTTAGGTTAAATTGTAAATAAGGATCTGTGTCTCTTCACCTAACAATCTGCTATTTAACACACTGCCTACATCTACATCTACACTGACTGCTGTCAAAAAAAACTCACGAAATGTCTTTCTTCATTCTGCTTATCTTGAAAACCTGTTTGCAGCATACATGTACTAAACCCCAGAATTTCCTCTAAAACCACACAGATAAAAAAATGCTGTTTTAGATCTAAAAAGATTACAACTCTCATGCAAGTTGCAACCTTACTACCAGTTATATTTGTATATATTGATGTTATTTTAGATTTTGATAATAATAACGTTTATATTTTTCTTTTCTGCATAAGACGAAAATAAAAATAAAAAAACGATATTTGGGATTTTTAAAAGTTTTTATTATGCAACAGGTGGAATTATTTTCCTCCAAATGGTTTAGAGTATTTAAAACGTAGAAGTTGTCTTGTTAAACAACCCTTTGGGTCCTTGCTAGATTGCCAGATATGTATTTTTCAGAAAACTGATAAAGATTGTACATAGCCCTCACATGCTAGCATGTCCCCGCACCTGCTTCTCTTGCTACTTTCCTTTCACTTTACAACGCAGCCCAGAGGAAAACTACAACTTCAAAGGCCAAACGGATGACCCACCATTTTAGTTTCGATTTGCATGAAAAACTGGTTCTGTATTCTTCCTCATTGATTTTAGCCTGTGAAATACACTTTCCACAGATTTAGCTCTTGCCTTCTTTCAAGGACAAATAGCAAAAGCATGTGCTCATCACACACACCCATAATGAGGATAATGTGGTTTGGCTGCAGTCCACAATCCCACAAGTGGACTGTGAGAACGCTGTGCTGTGCCGACACATGTCTGGATACCTCTTAGCCTGCCTCAAAGTACAAGCAGCATTGTCATCGTTGGTGAACAGAAGTGTCACCGGTGCGTGTCTCTTCTCTGCAGAGCTTCCAGAGAACTGGACGGACACGAGGGAGACCCTTCTGGAGGGCATGGTGTTCCAGCTCAAGTACCTGGGGGTCACGATGGTCGAGCAGCCCAAAGGAGAGGAGCTGTCTGCGGCTGCTGTCAAGAGGATAGTGGCCACGGTGAGAGACAACACACACCTACACACATAACTGGAATAGCTTAAACTGTGGGCACCCAAAATCTCTTGTCAAAGCGCCCTTATTCAGAAAACTATTGGCCAGAAATGGGTTTCACTCAAGCACATGCAATATCTTTCCCACTTCATCACCTCCACCACTTGGAAATCATAGTCGTCTGCTAGTTTTCTCCTGTTTATGACCTGACTGGCACCTTGGTGAAAAGTGCCTGCCTGGCTGCCTACTTTCCCCCCGGAGGCCCAGGCTGACATTTGGAGGAGGATGAAATTAGTTTAGACAGTGTTGCTCAGTATATGGCTCAGCCAGCTTTATCATGGTAGAAAAGGCTTAATGTTATTGGATCTGGCAGCTCAGTGGATAATGAAGTTAGCGGCGGCCGAATGGTGGGACTCGGGACATGGTGATATACGGAGAGGAAGGCTCTGATTGGGCCTAATCTGTTGGCTGCCCTTGGTGTCCCTCTGCAAAGGATGCTAGGCAACTGGATGGGATATTTTTCCTCTTGTCGTATTGTGTAATAGGTGAACTTTGTGTAAAGTAATATTTTGTCCGACCAAGTTGGAAAAGTTGCCATTTACTGAATTGGATTCTCACACATGCTTGTTGGTGTTAAAAACTTGTTTCCTTCAGAATCTTTATTCAACTAGTTTGTGTGTTTGTTTTGCCGATGTTTTTGTTAATTGGCTTATAGCATATTTTCCTGTTAATCAAGCTAGCAGCTTAGCTATCTTTGGTTCGAAGGTCTATCTTATCTCCAAGAACTTAACTTATCTTTTGATTGGCATCTTTTGACCTACAGTCTGGATTTCATGAAAACTTGAGGACAATTTGCTTTGTATCTTGATTGTTTTGGTATGTCATATCCCTGGCATCAGTGGATTTTGATTGGTTGTCCTGATCAAAAATTCAGAGTCTGAGTTGTAATTTGCATAAATACAAGGTTGATCCTTTCTTATGTCCCTGTCTCACTCACACACCCCGTTTTCTCCACTCTTTCTTTCTCCTTCATCGCTTCCTTCCAGGCCAAAGCCAGTGGAAAAAAGCTCCAGAAAGTCACATTAAAGGTCTCCCCACGAGGAATCATCCTTTACGACAGTGCCTCCAATCAGCTGATAGAAAACATCTCCATATACAGGTCAGTCCTCCTCCTCCTCCTCTAGCTGTTAATATTTCTAACACAGTCCGTGTCCCCGGCTGACTCGGGCGGCCCCAGCTATGAAATACTTTCACCCTAAGCTTGTCCTTATCACCTACAATAAAACAAAAGTTGTTATTTCCCCATTGCTCTCATCCATCACTGGATGGATGTGAGTGTAAGGAGGTGTGGCAGTGTAAAGAGTTTCTGTGTGTGTGTGTGT